ATAAGTAAGTAAGTATAAGTAAGTAAGTATAAGTAAGTAAGTATAAGTAAGTAAGGAAGTAAGGAAGTAAGGAAGTAAGTAAGTACGTATGTACAGACGTACGTACCCGGTAGATAAGTAAGTAAGTACGTACCAGTAAGTAAGTACCGGTAAGTAAGTAAATAGGGGCTATATCATGTAAAATTACATTTTTTGAGTTTTATATCGTGTTATAATGTTATCCTCTCATCAAAAACATGCCCAGAGTCTTGCTCTGACTCATTCATGCATGTTTAAAAAATCCTGTAGTGCCCTGAGGCAGCAGGCAGGGGACCAAAAACCACCAGATGGGACCAGAACCACCTTTTAGGATCAGTTCCTCCTCTGGACTGTGTCTCCAAGCCAAGCTTCCTCATCACCGAGTGTGGCTGCCCAATCCGTACCAGAAGCTCAATCCGTACTGTCCCAGAAGCATTGTTTTTAGCATGTAGCATTTCACTAAACTGATGGCAGAATTCATTGSATTTCAGTCTTTCATCACCTCAATGTTTCAGAGAAAAGGCAACGTTTGCAGCAGCTGTGGATTTTTATTCCAGGAATAAAATGAAATAAAGATAAGATGAGTTATAACATGATTGTCTAGAAAATAGTTTACAAGTTATTATAAATAAAAATGTACCGCATCGTAAATCTATATTTTATTAATCAAAATGTATACAATATCAAAACTGTTTTCAGAATATTATTTAACACAGCTTTATAATTAAATCTATAAATAATTATTTTCAGTTTTTTTTCCCCTAAATCTAGAAGTCTATCATTTAGCGCAAATGAGCTGACAGTACGGATCGTGCTACCGGGACGGATCGGGCAGCCACACAGAGCACACACACACACACACCTGGCCCTGTGCAGAAATGGACGGGACAGAAGCTGAAGGAGGTTCTTAAAGAGACAGAGGCCAATTTCAAGGTGTTTAGAAACAGATATGAAAAATCAAGTTTATTTTCTATTTAATCATATAAACTGCATTTTAATAACAACTGAAGGTAACATAAGCTGCGTTTCCATTGCAAATGTGCGCAAAACTTTGTCGGTATTCTGTTAAAGTTGAAAAACACAGTTTCGCAACTGTGGTGTTTCCGTTGAGTAAGAAATGCTATTAAAGTCATGCATGAATACGTTTGTTCTCATGATAAGTCATTACAAACATGGCGGCAATGGATGTAAACACATAGCATGTTGCTACCACGACACTGGCGCTCATCATCAGAGGAGACGTCGGCGTCTTTTATCGAGGCTTTCCAGAGACAAGTCCCTACTTGGGAGCGGCTACGTATGCTGTGTTTTTGGGAAATTGTAGTCGSTGAGTTTACTACTTTATACTACTTCTGTGATATTACTACTACTTCTACTTCCTGTTATCTTCCTCGTCGTTGTCTTTTTCGCCAGTAGAAACAGCCGGTTGTTGATCACGTGACTCCTGTGATGCGAAAAAAGTGTTTCCATTGCAGTTTTGCGAAAAACACCAATTTCAATACAGCCAAAATACCACCTCATCCTAGCGCAAAAAYATTTTGTCGAAAAAYGTAATWTTTTTTCGAAATTGACGTGTTTCCATTGGGCAAATTTATTTTCGAAATTCTAATTTGCGCATTTTCATGGTCAATGGAAACGCAGCTATTAATATATATTATATAGCTATAGTTAATTTATTATGGTATAGAATTTAAATATATGCCTAAAAAACACATAATGTTGCCCCTTTAGAGGCAATTTTTTTCACGGTAAGATACTGAGATATGTTGAGACTATAAATAAAACAAACATCCATGGTGAGACTTGGGCATTTTTTAAAATGCTAAAAAATATAATGCGCCAGGAGTTCAGGCCATGATTTCTGGTTCTGCCAGAAGGTCCCAAATAATGCACTAACAAAATTTTCTTTTTTAGTTTTAAAGCAAAAAACAAACAAACAAAAAAAAAACCCACCTTATTATTATTATTATTTTCTCATTTTATTCTGAAACTGGGGGGAAAAAACACAGTGTGTGACAGTATTACAGCTTCGTTATGTTGTTTCTATCAGGGCAAGCCCGTTTGGACGGTGCCTTCTGCTCCTACACGGAGAAGGACAAGCACGACTACCTCACTAAAGCCAAAGAAGCAGGAGTCTGCAACATAGAAATGGAGTCCTCCGTTTTTGCGGCTATGTGCAATCTGAGTGGTCTGCGAGGTGAGAAAGCACAACATTTACGTTTCTGAACGGTTTGATCTCGACGCCGATGTGTGTTAACATTCTCATCTTTCTGTGCGAAGCGGCCGTTGTTTGTGTGACGTTATTGGATCGACTGAAGGGAGATCAGCTGAGCAGCTCTCACGATGTTCTTCACAATTACCAACTGCGTCCTCAGGTCCTGGTGGGCTACTACATCAAGAAGCAGCTAAAGGCTAAATCACAACGCAGCTAAAGGATGTAGCTACGCTGCTGAGCAAACACTGTCAGGTTGTTCTTGGAGTACTGAAAGTACTGAAAACATTGTCAAACTGTTTTTGTTTATTTCCTCTTGCGTATACGACACACACCATTTTCACATTTACCAGTTCTTAGAGTGCACCTTGTATTTACGAATTTGTGCTAGTTTAGTTAAATTATTAAGTTGACAACATGCACTTTTTTAACTTTTCACTTTTTTATGTAAATTATCAGCCCAAGCCTGGTAAATATATTTGATTGCAGTCGCTTTGTTTTATTTAAAATTTTAAGTTTCTGATCCTTAAAACTTGAACTTTAAGATGTTAATGAACGGTATTGCCTAAAGGGCCATTTCAGATCTTTTTGGTGTAGTTCAAATAAATAGTTCAGAGTTCAGAAACCTTCACACCATCAGTTTTGTGTGACAGTTATTCACTGTATCCATGGTTATTAGCGACTAGTAGCAGCTTGCTGTAGCACCTAATATTTCTACCAGAATAATGTTGCAATATAAAATTGACAGCTTAAATGTTTCACAAGAACAGAATTGTTTTGAGACTAGTTTTGTTTAAGGGTGGTAGCAACTCTTGTCTCCACTGTCTGTTTTTATGAATGAAGGCCCTTTAAAGTTCTAAAACTTGAAATATTAATGGTTCATTAATGACTGATTATTGTGTCATGATGATGGTGATTATTATTAGTTAACTGAAAGATCTTGAGAAGTCTGATTTTATTGCTCGCAATGTGGATTTTTAAGGTTATTTTTGTGTCCATTTCATGAAGAAACAGCAGGACACAGTTTGGACCTTACAAACAAAAGACACTGTATGAGGTATATGTGATAAAAATAAAATCGCATATACGCTATGGGTTATATTGTGTGTTTTTTCTCATTTATGGCACATTTTTACAGCAGTAAATTCAATTCTCCTTTCATGAAGCGTCTAAATATTTGACAAACTTGTTGCGTTACTTTATTAAATCAGTAATTATTTAAAAACATGCAACCTGTTAACTCCTCATAATAATGGTTATGGGTCAGATTTAGCACCGCCAATTGACCTTAGAAAGCACAAAAATATATATCAACTTCACAGATTTTGTCCTAAGATTTKGTGTAGTAGTAGCTGAGACTGGTTCTACATTGAATCATACTTTTTATTTATTTTTTAGCCACTTTAGTAGAAAACAGAACTGAATTTGAGTTTATTCATCATTAGTGACTGTTTTTTAAATTATAATAATGAAGAAAAGGAAAGAAAAGAAAAGGAGAAACGTAATGGGAAAGGTTGAAAGAGAGACTGGAAGATATGTGAGATACACACCAAGAAAACACAAGACAGCACATTTCACATCTGTTTGCACACCTACAAAAACAGCAACAAAATGCACATGTATATAATAATTATAATCTTGCTGAAAATCATTCATTCATACAAACACACACATATATACAGTATGTGTGTGT